TCAATTTAATGTGCACTATTTCTGGCAGTCTGCTTAGGCCCTTGGACACTTTAAATGGAAACTCATTAAAGAATGATGTCATCACTCTAAATGTATACTGCCTGCTATGTTGTTGAGTTAACTGAGGTTGGATGGCCTGAATGAAGAAAATTGCATTCTATAATGGTTCCAGGGAAGTTAATGTTTTCCTGTTTTTACCTTTGATGTATTTGATGAGCTGTCACAAAGAAAAAATTTATCAGAAAGAAGGAAGCAAAAAATCCAGATGATACGTGGCCTCCATGATTATTGTGTACTGTCACAAAAATAACAAGACCCTGAAATGTGTCTTCTCGATTTACTGGAGAAAATATACTTTCACAAAATGAGCACACCACGTATAGCTTTATCAGAAGGGTTACACAAGGTGGAAATTGTGCTCTTATCTTTCTGAAGTACAGCATTCAAAACACAAGTTGAAGAAAGACAAAGCACTAGACCAGGCTCTGGCTTTCCAGATGTGGTTGGACTCCACTTCCCATGAGCATTAGCCAAATTGATGGCTACTGGGGAATGGTGGGAGTAGCAGTTCACAAACATAGATGGATGAAGATTTCCCACCTCTGCGATACTGCTTTCAGTACCATATTTAGAAATAGAAATCAACTAAATCCTTAGTTCTAAATTAATCGTAGAAGTGTACTGAACTACACAGATTGCCCTTCCTTTTTTTCTTTTCTTTCCAGAGTACTCCAGCCTGAAAAGCCAATGGGAGCAGTTATGTGATAAATTCCAGTTAGTTCATTCTTCCTGGACAGAAATCTGTGCTTAGACTTTCCTATTTGTCTCCCTCTTACTTTCAGATGTTGTCTGTTTTGTCTGTCTTTCTCAAAGGACTATGGGGACAAGGTGAGAGATTCAGTGGAAATGAGCAAAACAAGGTAAAGGCAGCACCAACAAATTTCAATACATGTGTCTTATTTAAAAATTTAAATTTTATATATATATATATATATAATGACTACTCAGCTGTAGTTACCAGCGCAGCACACAATTGAACTAATAATAATAATAATAATTTTTATTTCTATACTGCCCTATGGTGAACCAATCTGGGCGGTTTGCAACAGTTAAAAGAACAATAAAGATAAAACAGTATATTCCCTCCCCCCCCCTTAAAACATTATTAAATCAGATACCAATTAAAACAATGACAGATTAATTAAAATATAAAATTCAAATACAAACCATTTAAAAAAACCCCACCACTTCCATTTTTTGGAGCTGTAGAGGTACTGTAGAGGGGGAGGGGAGGAGAGATCCTGAGGCCGGGATATTTAGTCTGGAAAGGCCTGCCGGAAGAGATCCATTTTGACAACTTTTTTAAAACTGTCCAGAGATGTTAACTGACGGATCTCGTCCATCAGGTCGTTTCAGAGCCTGGGGGCAACAACAGAAAAAGCCCTCTGGGAGGTCGCTGCAAGTCTCGATTTTTGAGGCTGCAGCAGATTCCTCCCAGAGGACCAGAGGGCGCAGGGAGGATTGTATGGGAAGAGGCGGTCTCTGAGATAGTTTGAACCCAAAGTGATCTCTAAGATACCAGGAGTCTGGTTAGATAAGGAGTAGGCAACCTTTTTGAGCCGGGGGCCGGGTTGCTGTCCCTCA